GCTCCAGTCCCCATAATTGAATTTCCCACTTTCCCCAACACAGTATGGACTACTCCCTGATAGCTCCCCTTTATTTTTACTGTCCAAAACCCTGGGATTAATCATGGCTTACCCTGTGAACTAATTTGTGAGGACAATCTCAATTGAGCACGGCCCAGTCCCCTTTACTGATGTTTCTACAGTTCCTTGACAGACTTAGTTGTACACTAAGGGCTGATTGGACTTGACCTGCATTACTGACCAAGGCCCAATCCTTAGTCTGAAAGGATATGGATTCCCATACTCTGATCACCCAAGTGCCCAACTGACTATCGCCTAAGTTAGACTGAGATTGAATGATGCCATTGATTGAGTGTGGCAGCACATACTGACTGACCTTAGTCCCCCTTCAATTGATTAAGTACAACTCCTTTTAGGCTTTCAGACTAGGCCATTTGGTTGAAACACATGCAGCGTGTTTACCATGTAAGCCACTGACACACGATTTAGATGTATCATTGATGGAACCTGGTGCCTTATAGTAATGTCTAATCCCTTGTCTGTTCAGTACTGGCAACCAAGACAAGCTGCTGACTTTTTGTCTGCCTTACTAAGCAAGATGAGCCCGAGTTGCTGTGATCCTAAACGTTATGATTGAAGTGGGAATGCACTAAAAGGCAAGGCAAGGCAAGGATGCTGTGAGAGTCCGAGTAAGTGCAATCTGAGTGAGCACCAAGAAAGTTGGCTAGAAGCCCTGAGATATATTCTGTGCAGATGCATGAGATGTGTATATCTCTGTGCACAAAGTGAGCTGGCAAGAGCATTGTAATATAATGTGTCACTAATCTCTAGAATACTGTGTTGAAGTGCTGAAGTATCTTCTGAGTTAGTCCAAGATAAGGTTGAAGAAAAAACAATTATATTATTGAATTTGGATCTGCCCAAGATGCATAAATGTTAATTGAATATTAATTGTGTTTAATTATAAGCAGCTGGTCGGCATTAACTGGGGATTCGCTTGTGCCTGTCCAAATAGATACAGACTGGAATTGGTTGCTGAGTTACAAGGTGCATAGTTGTACTGTATAACTCAAATAAATGCTTATAAAAGTTGACAAATATTGGCATCAGTTCCATCCTTCTCCAGCTTACTTTCAGGAAAATACAATAAAATGCTTAATAAGGTTTCAAAAAGTATTTCACACTATTTCACGCTAAAGCCAAATATGTTGCAAATGTTTTCTCTATATGATTATGTCAGCCAATAATTCATCAACCGATTAGGAACTTGTGTGAGAAATGTGAACAATGTGTTGTTACATACAAGATACAACGTATTGTAAAACTACAAAGTACCTTTTGAACTTTTTTTTTGTATGAATACAACAAATTAAAGTGTAAATTTCTCATTTAAAAGTCTTCTTAAGTGAATATAACAATGGAGAAAAATATAGCAGAATGAAATACTGGTGCATTTAGGAATTTCTATGAACCATGTCCCATTTTTCTTTCATTCTCTGCCGATTTCCCCTGAAGACATTGAAACTGTACTGGAATTTATTTCCATATCTGTTTGACATAATGCGAGCACTTTACTGAAATTTCTTTCCTTCATGGTTGGAGCTAGTGAAGGTTGTCAGCAGGCTATTCCAACTGGAAGCTGGTCTTTTCATCAAACGCCCTACAAGCAGAAGTTGGAACCCTGGTTGATTATGACCTTATCAGCGAAGGTGGAAACTTATTTTGAGGGTTGGAGGATTGGATGAAATTGGGGATTGGATGAAATTGGGGATAGGCAGCAATGTCCCTGTGGGAGAATTTGAAAATAATGATGAGAATTTTTCAATTGAGGTCAGGGTAGAATTGGTATAGGGTCTAGAGGTAAGAAAGGCATGGATGAGAGTATCAGCAGCAGACGAACTGAAGGGTGGAGATGGATGATGTTATTGAGATAGATGCAGGCAGCATTGCTGAAGAAAAAGATATGGGGTCAACAACTCAGCACATTAACAACAATGAGCAAGAATAAAAGTAACTTTAAACACACAAACAGTGAAGGTGAACAAAGGTCACAGTGTGAACCTACTCAGAAAATACTCTTACGCATTATATTGTGAGAGAATGCAATTTTGAAGCCAATGACCGAATGAAAAAAGGGAATAAAATGAAGTAGAAAATACAAGTTTTTATGTGTGTCATTAAATCTTTTAGTTTTTCATAACTAGGTTACTCATACTTCATTAGTATTTAATTAAGTTTGTTCTCATCAGTAACTTCAGTTTTACGTAATGAAGATAGATGAAAGGAATTAACTAAAATGGTAATTGAACTATTAGCTGTACATTTTAAATTTGTTTGGAATGTAGGAATTATACTCGCCTGAGAATTGCTAAATAAAAATGTAATCAGTGAATATCTGCTAAGTGAAATTGCTGTTATTTGACAAATTTACAGATGGTTATGTTTTTAATAAGGGAAAACAAATCAATGAAACAGAAGTAAAAAATTGATCTGTGATTCTCCACCAAACTAAGTTATATGATACCAAAGGTCGTGCAATGATGGCAATTCAGAATCATGAGTAGTAGTCATAGTTCAAAATAAGATTTTTTGAAAAACATTGCCTTGGCTTACTCTGAGTTATTTTTATTGTTTCTGATTTTAAGGTTGTCAAGAGCCTTTAGCTTCTTGATGTTTTTCCTGAGGGTATCTATAATTATTTTAACAATGTTTACTGTGTTTATTATGTTTTCATATATATTCTCTTTAATATAACTTATTGAGATTGGTGGTAGATAAATTTTTCTTCATAAAAAATAAAGTTAGTAAGTTTTGAAAGGATAGTAATTCCTAAATTAAGTACCTTGATTAAAAGCAGAACCTGTACTGTGGCTCCCCCTCAAATAGAGAAACCATGCACTATGTTTCAAAAGATCATGCTGCAAGCTCTAGAATTTGAGCTAGTACTTAAATGCGGTCCTGAAGGAAATCTACATTGTTTAAGTTGTCCTTTTGAATTAGATGTTAAGCAGACACCTTGCCTGCTCTGTCGACTGCAAGTAAAATATTTTATAGCATTATTCAACGAGAAGGTCACTCTGACAGTTTTCTTGACAGCATTTACCCCTTAACTGGCACCAGAAAAATAGATTAATTCATCTCATTGATGTTTAATAGATCTTGTTGTGCACCAAATTGACTGCCGAATGTGCCTATCTGACAAAGTAACTATGCTTCTAAAGTAATTCATTCTCTAAGAAATATTTGGGACAACCTGTGGATGTGAATGGTGCTAAATGAATACATATTTATTCCATCTCTCTATTCCATTCATCTCTTGCTGTGAATTGCTCCTAAAGTAGCTGTGAAAAGTATCTGTATTTACTCTAATAAATTGCGTTGTGGAATGCCATGTTATACCACAATGGACAGTGGAGGTAACAGAGAAGAAAGTGTGGAAGATGTGTAATGGATTCAAAGATAGTAGAAGAATGGGCAATACTGACGATGAACTAAGAAAGAAATAAACAGAAGTCAAAGCAAAGAGAACTGAAACCTTTCTGCAGTTAAAGGGCTGCATTTTCCCATTCAAAGCAGGGATTGGATGGTAGAACCGATCCTGATTACATTCTTGCCTCTGTTACCATCCTGATGGGAGGTGGAGGGCTGTTTCTGGCTGGCAGTATTTGACAGCTGGGCTTTAAATGTGGTACCAGAGATGTACACCCTGAAGGTCCCAGCAGCAGAAAGAACTTCCACCTCTAGTGAGCATATGATAACATGAGTATGCAGCATAGGGGTTCGTTGCATGCATAATGAAGTGAACAGTGTAGAGTTGCATGAGAGAACTTGCGAGAGCTCATCAAGGGAAACTCCCTGTGAAACTCTCCCAAATTGACACTTAGCTGGTTTTTGGTCAAATTCAATGCCACTCACCTCCCTGGTTCGACCGTCTGACTACCTGCTCTTTTTTCCCATACTCAGTCAGTGATTGTGTTACGCTTGCCTGCCTCTGCTTACCGCAGGTCAGTGCACGAATATCTTGGGACTACATTACAATCTCCATTACAAGTACTTCCAATGGTGAAGGAGTGCTTTGGGCTCAGCACCTGCATTATGCTGTTTTGGGGGCGCAGATCCAGTGGATCCAGGACAATCCAGCCAGAGTCTTTTCTTTATGATCACCATTCAGAAGAGGGGTAGCTCAAAATTGCTTTTCCTGTGACTCCATCAGGGGTGTGAAGTTGGGTAAGAAGGGTGGGTGGGATCATTACCTGCAATTTGAGAACTATTTCCTTAGAGATTGTTTAGCTCAGTTGGTTTGGGAAAGGGAGGAAAGTGGTGGGGCAGCCAAAAGAGTGATAGCAGTCTTGGGTACAAAAACGTCCATGAGGACTTTGTACATGAGGAGGCAGGGAAAAGGGCTTGGAGAAGATGGCTTGCTGCAGGGTAAAGAGCTATGAGTTGATTTTTCATTCCAAGGATGTTCGAGTGTGCAAGTACCTTGGTGCACATTAAATTGTTTATTTTCCTGCAGACTGATGATTGTAAGAGTGTACCCTGTAGAGGAGTGGTATATCTCTGACAGTGATTTCTGGATTTCGCATTTAATTGTTCATTTGAGTACTCCATAAGTTGTTGTCAGATTTCGTCTGTTATAATGATGAGCATTGTTAGTTTCAATATTATTCTTATCTCAAAAAAATACTGTATCTTAAACCTAGAATATTGATATATCTTTGTGTCCAATGTTGACAGATCTGTTTACATTTTGAGCATTTTTAAAATTTTTATGTAATTAAATTCATTTCAGCTAGTATAAGTTGAACCAATATTTATATATTTCCTTGTTTCTCAAAATTGAAAATACAAGCCATTTTTATTTGTGCTTTGTTCCAAATGAACATTCTATATGTGAATAAGCCGTTAATTACTCTGTATATAAGAAACAAAAAAAAATCAGTAAATGCACAGAATCAACCTTTTCCCTATTTAAATTTGTACAATCTTTTATCTTATAGCTACCCTGGATTCTGCTGTCAGAGTGGGAGAACAAAGTGCCAAAAACTTTATTCTGAGAGACAGAAACGATTCAGTTCCATCCGTGTTTTATGAAATGGTAAGTATGGTAGTCCATAATGTTAAATCCTGTTGAAACACTACCAACATGGAATTTCTTCATGATCATAAGTCACTTCTGGTCTTCCAGTGCACCATAGGGTTCTACAAAGTTTCTTCTTAAATCGATAAACTTTGGGCTATTAATATACCAAAGATCCCAAAATGCACCTGAAGTAAAGCAAAATGACTGCAGATTTCATGTGAAGCTTCGCTGAAACAATAGAAGTGATGGGATCTGGGAAAATAGATTAATCAATAACTTTGGATTTTTAAAAAAAGAAAACCAAGCAGAGTAGATTTAGAACGAGCGCACCTAAGAAGTGATAGCTGCAAACGATAGGAATTAAGATGAAAGAGAACATCTGTGAAGTAGGTGACAAAAGCTGGAAGGTGGTAGGATAGGGTTACCCAAAATAAACCAAATTAAATAATACAATTTATCAGATGCAGTGAAGCAGCTTGCGAAAGCTCCTCCATCAGCACGTTCCAAGTCTGCAACTTCTACCACCGAGAAGAGCAGTGGACGAGAGCACAAAACATCTACAAGGTCTACTCCAAGTCACATAATATCCTGACTTAAAAATAAATCATTTTTTCTTCATGGGCGCTGACGCAAATTTCTGGAACTCTCTCCCTAATAATACTGTTGGTATGCCTGCAAAATTTCAAAAAGATAGCTCACCATCACTTTTTCAAAGGCAATTAGGAATAGATAAGAAATGCTCGCCTTGCCAGTGATTCCTAAGTCCCATGAACAAATTAAAGTAATCAAAGGAAATAAAAGGATAAAAATCAAACATGAGGAGGTGAAAAGGATTAATATTGGAGACTGCATTAAACTTCACCAAATCTGATGATGTTGTAAGGACCTGGGTGGTCAAAGGCAGAAATCATAGGATCTTATGGAGTGAAAACCCTATACCCACTGGTCTACTAAATGTTTTAACCAGAAGGTTTAGCTTACTAACGTAACTTGCACCCGATTGCTATCTTGCAAAAAAAAACTGTATCGTGTTTAAGACTAGAGCCTGTTTTCATTAAAAGTCATGATTGAATATTCCTCTACCACTAACCCAACCTTAAACCCTGTCACTGTAACGGATGATGGCAGCAAATTACCTCAGCCACCAGCTGTCATGGTTAGCATTGCAGCACAAGTACAGAAATTATCATATAAAATCTAGAACAGCTGGATTAAAACATTAAGCCAAATGTAAACAGGAGAAATGCAATAAGAAAGGAAAACGTTGGTGAGAAAGCTAGCGTGATGTTTACGATGGGGCATTCACAAATGTGAAACAAAATTTGCATTTATGTAGTGCCTTTAATGTAGTAAGATGTTTCAAGGTGCTTTAAAGGAGTGTTATCAGATCAAATGTGACACTGAGCCACATAAGGAGATTAAGACATGTTGGTCAGAGAGATGCATTTTAAGGAGTGTCTTTGAAGAGAGAGGGTTAAATAGTTGGAGAGCTTCAAGCATATCTGACAAAGCATCCATTAACATCGACAATCTAACAAGCTTAGTGTGTCCTAAATGGATCAAATGAAAAGTTTGATGAAGAGGAACAAATCCTAAAGAGAGAAAGGAGAGTAGTTTAGGAAGTTGCTATAACATCTTACAAATAGGATCAGAAAGGCAAAAAGAGACCTGGGGGAGAAAAAACAATGAAGGCAGCTGGGGCTAAGCTAAGGATGAACACAAATAATACAAGTTTGAACAAGTACTTCTCCAAGTATTCATAAAAGGTACAAGCAACAAGCCCTGTTTAAAAAAAAATCTCAAGTAAAATCAATGACTTTGTTATAAACAAGGTGGAAATCCTTGACAGGCTAATCAAGCTCTAAACAAACAATTCTCCTGGGATGGGTGGTAGAATTCTGAAAGAGACTAGGCCTTGGTTCAAGTCCCACCTGCTCCAGAGGTGTTTAATAATATCTCTGATCAGGTTAATGAGGAAAAATAGGTTAACTTAACAAAAACATTAAAAGGAGACTAGTGAAGAAATTTGTGAAGCTCTGAGAATCATTATGAGAGAATAATTGTGCAGTAGGGAGGTATTGAGAGGTTGGGAGCAGGTTAATGTGGTGTCCATACAAAGAATTTAAAAAAAGCAGGACACACGCAACGAGAACATTAATCTTCCATTTCTTATAACATAATAGAATTTGTTATAGGGAGTTGATTTGAAGGCCATCTATATGCTAACAATGGAGGAAACATAGGGCTGCATTTTATGAGGGAGTGAACTGCTAGAAGGCTAAATCGGCCATTAGTCAATATACATAGGGAGATACTACACTGCAGGTAGGTTACTGTGGTTGAAAGTGAGACCTGCCCCTCAGTGAGAGGAAGTCCTACCCTTATGATGTCCCAACAGTGCCAGGGCTCAGTAGTGGGTGGCGCTGGGAATGTTTAAAGGAGAATGAGGAATATCACGGTTACCCCAGAAGGATATGTTGTGAGATTTTAGGGTGGAGTGAGCTCTGAGCCCAGAGAGGGGGAGGAGAGGGATGGGAAGCTCGAATTTGGATGGCAGACAGTATGAAAGCGGGCAGGGGTGACATGACATCATGTGGGAGTTGGGGAGGGGTTTGCCTTCTGATGCAGGCAGGGAACATTGTGAGAATCTGAGACAACAAGGTGCAGAGCTGGATGAACACAGCAGGCCAAGCAGCATCATAGGAGCAGGAAGGCTGACATTTCGGGCCTAGACCCTTCATCAGAAATGGAGGAGGGGAACGGGGTTCTGAAATAAATAGGGAGAGAGGGGGAGGCGGATATTACGAGAGAGTTGCAGTGGGAGAGAGATCCCCTGAGGTTTGTCTGGAGGGAGGAGGGTAACTTCTTCAGGGTAGGCATCCTTAGAAGAGGCTTCGCAGTGGGGTTAAAATTGTATCAGAGATAGTAGGAACTGCAGATGGTGGAAAATCTGAGACAACAAGGTGCAGAGCTGGATGAACACAGCAGGCCAAGCAGCATCATAGGAGCAGGAAGGCTGACGTTTCCAGCCTAGACCCTTCATCAGAAATGGGGGAGGGGAAGGGGGTTCTGAAATAAATAGGGAGAGAGGGGGAGGCGGATATTACGACAGAGTTGCAGTGGGAGAGAGATACCCTGAGGTTTGTCCGGAGGGTAACTTCTTCAGGGTAGGCATAAGTTACCCTCCT